TGGATCCCGAAATTCAGATGGGAGCATGACACTAAACCTCCTCTGAGTCTGTGCAGCTATTTCAATCGCCTTTAGCCCCTTTGTCGATGGCAGCATAGGCCCGGCGACAATGGTATCCACGGGTTTTGGGAAGAACCCAGCAGTGGGCTTTCCCTTGTATTTTTCCTTCCTTGGATGCACCATTGCTTCCAATGTACTTTTGACATCTTTAATAGGTTTGCATTATCATCCCCTCTAGAGAAAAACTATGTCGTCTTACCTGGACCAAATTTCTCTCCATTAGCGGGAAGAATCATCTACATCAGTCGTGAGACAATGAAATATGTCGGAAAGGGCTCCAAAAATATGTACAAAACTGTTATTGCTATAACGTGCGTACTCTGGCTACCTGAATTCTCCGGCAGGGACACAGTCTAAACTCAACAATTTCTTAGATTGGAATCCAGGCTCATATATCCAACCGTGCTAGGGATATACATTGGAAGCTATTTTTATGGATCAAGATCCGATACTGTGGCTCTGTATGTTAACAATATCGTACTTCTGACTGCCGCACATTATTCTCTCCACCAAGTTGCCGTGAGTACATATTCCTCTCAATACACCTACCGCGGCGACCCATATAGGGCACTCTTCTAGGGAATCGCTCCGACCCTCGTAATCGTACGCACAAGCCTCGGTATCGCAATTGAAGACACCAAAAGCTGTATATCAACATTTCATGCTGGGGACCGCGCCAACACAGAGCTTCCTGTCAGCACCGGCCCCATCCTAGACATCTCCCGGTCTGCAGTCGTACCTCCAGATCCAAAGGCCGACTCAGACAAAGACGACGAGAGCAGTCTTTGAGTCCTTCTAGCATATATTCATAGTCTAGCTCTTTCCTATTTATTCAGTTGTTGTATTTAATCCGCCTTTCCAAATAAATTATAATGTCCTTCCAAGCGGCCCAGCTGTTATCTGCAGAAAATGAGATAACTCGACTTCTTGATTACACTGGGTTGTGTCTAATTATCTCACTTCCAACCACACATCCATTCCAAGTGAAAACGGTTGATAACACCAGCCGAAAGCACCCAATAGACAATCACGTCAGCGCATGGTATCCTCCCCACCGCCACCAAAGTGTTGAGCATCTCTGCCGCAGGAAGTACTTGGAACAACATACCGAACCTCTCGTGAGCTGTAGTCACAGCAAGCGCTATTTCGGGCTCTGCAAGGATTGATTCTCGGCACCGGTCTTCACGGAGAAAAGGCAGCTCGGTTGGTTGTATAGCAAAAAGGGATTGCTGAGAACTTGGAAGATATCGAGGTACAGATGTGCCAAGACCTGAACCTCGGCCAGAGCGACAGAACGATTGCGACGAATGAGATGATTCAGAATTCCCAAGAGCCAATAGTAGCGTACTAGGGTAGATATGTACGGTGATAATGGTACCGGTCGTAGAACTCCATACCCGTATCTGAGAGGCACTGAAGTCTGAAGCTGCTCGCCGTACGGTTCGGTAACAGGTATGGCTCAAGGCCATACGATGGTGCAAATACACAGCAACCGATAAGCGCCCAATAGCACCCGAAGATCTCCCGTAATCCTTCTCAAAAAGAGCATGAATCGGGCACAGATAAATGATGGATAGTGAGTGACCAAACCTAAGATTTACGACTATACAGTTGTTCGGTAACTCCAAGCTTCATTTTCGAGGTCTATCGGGAGCAAGTCTCCAAAAGGTTCATCCGCGGTCCCAACGTCTTCACCAAACCCGCTTGAGGAACTGTCTGCATGAGGACAGTTGCTGATGGCTCGTCGGGAGCAGTGTTCCATGTCTTGTGCCACGCGTTGAATGCATAATCTTCAATCTTGAAACCTATGAGGAAAATTGAACACTGCGTAGAGGCAAACTAAAACGTACTCTCATGATCAGCTGAGAAGTGGCGGGAAATGAATGAGGATGTGAACCAGGCGAATGAGGCAACGTCCGTGCTCCAGAGACGCGATACGGGCCACATGACCGTGAAACGCGCTCAGGTCCATCAGTCGCGGTCTTAAAACTGTGCCATTGCCAGTGAATATGAGAAAACGGACAGAAGACTAGGAACAACTGAGTACTCACCTTTCATATCTCTTCATCTCCGACAACTTTTGAAAGCTGGATAAGAATCTACCTGGTCTGGTCAGTATGGAGTAAATGTAATGCGTCATGAAACAACTCACAATCAATCAATAAGATGAGCGGGTTCGCAATCTACCCTGTCTGGAAAGGTTCGAAACCTCCGGCTTCAAAAAAACATCAAGCCAGTTTGCAAGATGAAGCTTGAAGCCCGAGCCACACCAAACGCCTCCCGAGTCCCGAATCACCACTGTACGCCGTGAACGGTGTGGCCGTACCCGTACGCACTAGTGACTCGGAGGTGGTTTTTGGTTCTCAGCGTCCGATCTGAGGCGACTCAACACTCCGAGTCCAACATCCTTCGCCCCTTCCCGCAAGGATCGAATTCGGATTTCAGAATTGCAGTGAACGTTGAACAATGGGCGGAGTGCATCGGCAAGGGCAGGGATAATGTATTCCGAGCCTGTCCAACCCAGAAACGTCGGAGATCCAATTTCAAATTCCAAGAATGAGGAACTTGGAGGTATAGACATCTGACTCCGTGAAGAAAAGGCTTGGAAACTGAGGTAGAGAAGGGCCTGGGATTGCTGAGAAGAAGACGAAGACGCGTCCACTTCAAGTGAAAATGACGACACCACATTTCAAGCTCCAAATGCAGTGGCTGGCCCTTGCAATTGAGAGGTGTTCGATTTCGGCGCCGACTGGATAAGACGATGCGGTCTGAAAAGCAACTTGTCCAAGCTCAGCGTCCAATCCGAGGGCAAAAGCAAAAGGCAACATACCTCAACCACCCTTCCTTCAACCTCCTTCCTTCAAAACCCAGACCCAACCCAAGCTGCCGTGTCCGGGGCGTTTGGTTTGTTGCTGGAGCCTGGGTTCATAATTCGTAACGCAGTCGGGTAACTGAACGAAACTAACATACGACTAACCCAAATCAAAACTGCGCCAGGGTCCATTAAAGGCAGCGGTCCTTGGAAAGCTAACCCAAACCTAAAGTGAAGAACAGCAGGAACGGGGTTTGCTGAGAAGAATAAGACGCGTCCGAGAGTGAAAACGACAACACAACGTTTCAAGTGCCGCAGACTGGCCTTTGCAATTGGATGTCATTGAGAGGTGTTCGACGACGGCATAGAGACGATGTGGTGACTCCAAGTCTGAGATCTGAGGCGAGCTCAGCAGTCGATCCGAGGGCAAAAGAAAAAGGCAACGTACTACTACCTCAACAGTGAAAATAACAACTTCGTCCTACTTCACTCTCCACAACCCAGGAACCTTCACTTCTCATTCAAGTCGTTTGAAGTGGTATTGGTAAGGCAGTTGGGACAAGGGAGTCAGGCGCTTATCACTGCGGTATTGAGTACAGACGGCTAGTGACAGACCGGGTGTGCGAGACCTGAGCGACAGGATGAGACGATTCTTCCCTCTAGGTGCCGGTGAAGCGTTTTTGGTTCAAAAATCCTAATTCCAAGTAAACGAGCTCAGCGTCCAATCCGAGGGCAAAAGGAAAAGACAACTTGGACATACCTCTGACTCGGAACACACGAGAGCATCCAAATCCCCCTCAATAACTCAATACTCAGTACTCAAACCCCAGACCTAACACAAACACTCCCCACAACCAAGTCGAGAGGAAATCAGGAACGTCGCGCTAACCCCTCGAATTCGGAATCAAGGTTTGTGATGGGCTCGTAGGTTCTTCCTGTCCAAGCAAGATTCAAGAAACGTCGGAGATCTTATCCAAATGAAGGAGATATGGGTGAAGAAATGGCTTGGAAAAGGCAGGAATGGCCAGGGGTTGCATAAGCCGGGATTGCTGAGAAAGAAGACGAAGACGCGTCAAGTGAAAACGACGACACAGTTCGTTTCAAGTGCCGCAGACTAATTGAGAGGCGTTCGGCATAGACTCGACGATGCGGTCTGAAAGCAGCTTGTCAAGGTCAGCGTCCAATCCGATGGCAAAACAAAAAGGCAACATACCTCTTTCAACATCCCCCCTTCAAAACCCAGACCCAACCCAAACACTTTGCGAAAAAAAAGGATATCTGAATTCAGAATCTCAGCCTGGGCGTTTGATCTACTGGCTCGGTCGAGGTACAGAACGATTGTGACAAGTGCCGGTGAGGCGTTTTGGTTCAAAAATCCGTATATTGTCCTAATCCCAAGTAAACGAGCTCAGCGTCCGAACCGAGGGCAAAAGGAAGCGACAACTTGAACATACCTCTGACTCTGAACACACAAATTAGCCCGAAAAAGTCCAACCATATGCATCCCTCAACAACTTTAGCTTTTCAGATTTCAAACCCCAGACCTAACAATAGTCGAATTTCGGAATCGAGGTCGTTAAAGTTTATGAGGGAAGTGTATTCAGAGCAGAAACACGGGCCCACTGGCAGAAACGAAAGCGGACCTCGGAAGTATTTGGTCCTTGGAAAATAACCCAAACGTCGGAGATCCCAAGAACGCAGTGGTTAATGGTTAATGTTTGGGCCCGGGATTCCTGAGAAGACGTTGACGCGTCGACTTTCAAGTGAAAATGACGACGACGTTTCAAGCTTCAAGTGCGGTGGTTCGTGAGACTGGCCCTTGTAATGTGACATCGAGAGGTGTTCGGCATAGAGGCGTTCGATCTGAGGGTAAGTACATACTTATTCCAAAAAAAAGCAAAGGACAACATACCTCAACCAAGTCACGGTGTATAACGTCCTCCATCTTCAAAGCCCAGACAAGTCGACGTGACGGAATTCCGAATCAACGTTGAAGGTTTGCGATGGTTGGAGTGGTCAAGAGATAAGAGAATCAGGCGCCCAAGCCCAAGTTCCAAATTCCAATCAAGCACGCGTACGCTTCAATAGAAACGAAACGAAAAAAAGCTGTACCAAATGATGGAAAGTCAACCCAAGATGGGGATCGAACCCACAACCTTTGCCTTCACATTCACGCTAAACAGATGGATAGGAAAGCAACGCACTACCATTGTGCTACTTGGGCGGTTGCCTTCCTCACCTCTTCACCCCCCTATCACCTTGATCTCTCTTGGCATTCGGGCGCCCAAGAAATACATATACAAAAACCACTACAAAAAACACAGGAATACTACGACAACCGCTCCTTAGCCCACCCAACAAAATCATCAATCGTACTAGGCCACGCTTCTTCCTGGTCGTAGTTTGAGAATGAAGAGTCGGTTGAGAGGAGGAAGTCTAGGAACTGCGTGTCCGATGTCAGCACTGAAAGACAACACGACAAGAAGAGAAGCGAAACGCTCCCAACGACTACACCCCCGACAGAAACACCCAAACCCAAATGCACCCAAAACACACCCAAAAAAACGAGAGAGAAAAGGAAGAAAGGCTCACCATCCCCCAAGTATCCTTACTAACACCCCTAACCTTTTTCTCTTGTAAAAACTCGAACCAGAGTTCTGTGTGTTTATCTGTCCACCCAGAGCCTGAGGAAGGGGAAGTCATATCGACGTCGCCGTCGGTGTCTTTCGGTGTGTACGCCAACGCGCCGCCTGCCCAGGATTTCGTTAGTACCCAAGAAAGCGAAGAAGGCAAGGAAAAAGAAAGGAAGGCACCTTGTAGCCCAACAGGCAACAACAACCCCCAAAACCCCAACGCACTATCAATCGGTAAACTCCTCTGACCTTCTGCCAGACCGAACGTGAACGTGTGTGTGTAGACTTTTCTGAAATATGCCGCGTCGGAGGAGAGCTTTGAGCGGAGTGTTGGGAGGAGTGAGGATAGAGATTGTAGGTTATCCACTCTATTTTTGCATTAGCGTACTCCAACCAACAAAACCAAAGAGAGAACGAACTAACCCCAACGCCTTCAACCCCTCCCCCCACCCCTTCCTATCCCACTCCGCCATCCTAGGACTCTTCAACTCATACGCCACAGCCAGCAACACCACATCCTCCGGATCCACGCCTAGATCTTCACAAAATCGAATCGTACCATCCGTAGTGATCTTGTTATTGTCTTCCGGCGAAGCGTATTTATCAAACAGTGCGTTGATCTTTGACGTCGACGGCCCCTGCCTTGCGTTGGAGTTGGTGTAGGAATGGGGCGTGGAGGAGGAAGAGGTGGGGGGAGTGGGGTTATTGTAATACGCATCGATGGCGATGTCAACACGTTTATGGTGTGTTAGGAATTTTTTGGCTGTTTGGGGGCTGTGCTGCGTTAGCCCTAGGTTTAAAGGAAGGAAGGGAGAACGCACGTAGCACCTGTAACAGCGACGAATTGTGCAATGTTGTTGTCCATCTTGTCTTGAGCTCTGGGTGTGGAATTGAACTGGGAACCGAGATGGGTAAGAGATAAGGGGTGTGTGTTGGGTTGGGGTTAGGCGTGGGAATAACGGACGGAGAGCGGACGTACGAGGAGTTTGGTTGCGCTTAGGCCTAGGAAGAGAAGGAGGAGAGATATAATTAGGGGGAGTGGTTGAATGTCGAGTGGTGACGCCAGTGTTGGTGCGTTGGTGTTGGTGTGAGGAGAGAGCGTGTGTGTGTTCTGGTCGACTCAGGGTTGCGGTGTGGTGAGGTGAGTCAGCGCGCCGGGTAAATGGGCTCGGGCAGGATGTAGTGCGTGAGTAAGGAAGGTGGTGTAACTGCCCAAGTAGCACAATGGTAGTGCGTTGCTTTCCTATTCTTCATGAGTACTGAGAAGGCAAAGGTTGTGGGTTCGATCCCCATCTTGGGTTCAATAATAAATTGATCGTCCTTTCTTTTTCATAGCGCCAGTGGCACGCGTGATACACGAACATTCAACGTTGTCTGTTCACAAATCACAAAAGAGCCACTCAGCATGCCCTTTCTTTGCCTTTCTTTCTTTCTCTTTCTTTCTACTGCCCTCTTTCTTTTACTTCCAACACTAGATTTAGAGCCTAGATGACATCTCTCCCAGACCTCCCAGGTTTCTTCTCAGCCTCACACGCAGCGCGTATCACACACCATTCTTCCTCCAGCTCAAACCCTGACGAACGCGAACGCCGCACAACCCACGATCCAAACCCGCAGGAAGAGTTTTATAAATATTGGCAAGAACTGCTGTTACTCCGCGGAGGAGGCGAGCTTCGACAGGTAGAATCGACATCGCCGACATCCCCGAGCCTGGTGGTATCACGTCAACAAGGTCTGTCATGATCATCTGCCCCTTCCCGTTTCCGTTCCCTTTTTCCCTGACAATTGAATGTTCTCACACGTCGACCTTAAAATACAGAAACAGAATCGCATGATGCCGTTTCTTTCCCTAATACCCCCATCACCATCAACGACAACATGTCCACCAACGGCTCTCTCACTAAAACTAAAACCAATGGCACCACCACCACCTCACTCACCACACCCCCAAAACCCCGCGCACACACCCTAGCCTCCCTCTGGTTCACCTTAACACTCCCCATAATCCTCTGGGACGCCTCTTACTGCTTCCTTCGTCCTCGGTCCATGTTTGGGGGCGATCTCCATTATATTTGGAAGCCGTACTCGATATACCAGAACGTCGATCTCGTATATGGCGTCAGGACGTACGAGGAAGCGGCAAGGGGTGAGGGAGGCGGATTTACGAATGCGCAGAGTTTGATGAATTTGTTGGAGACGGGGGGGAATTTGTGTTATTTGTTGGGTGAGTCGCCTCTTCTTTTTTGTGTTTTGGGTGTTTTGGGTGCTGATAGTTTTTGGGGTGTAGGTATGAATGGTTTTCTGGGGAGCCCAGACCTGCGAATGCGTTGGGTCCTAATTGGATTCCTCAGCGCAGGGTTGACGTTGGCGAAGACGGTGTTGTATTGGGCGCAGGTACCTCTCTCTCTCCTTCTTTTTACCTCCACACACCCCGAACTAACAAAACTAGGAATACTACTGCAACTTTTGTGCCATAGGCCATAACGACCTCCGAACACTTATCCTATTCTGGGTTATCCCTAATGGGTTGTGGATCGTGTTTCCTTCCTTCATTGTGTACACTCTGGGGAAGGATTTGGTTAGGTGGTTGGATTGGGCGGAAAGGAAGGCAATGGATGTGAAGGGGAAGTAGATGCGGTGTGCTTATAGAAGGAGAAGGAGAAGGTTTGGGAGAAGACTGTTATTTATGTTCTTGGAGTTGGACTGTACAATCTACGTATCTCTATATCTATGGTTTATGGTGCTGGTGTACATGTGTACATACCCTTTCCTAGCTGCACCAAAATTGAAAACCTCGGAGTGACCAGATGTTGAAAACGTCTTTGTTGGTATAAGCGCCCGTGCACGCCTTGGACCCGAACGTCATCCAGCTTCAAGCTTCAACTTGTTGCTTCATACCTCAACGTCACTCCTCGGCAACGTCGAATCGCTAGCACACCGCCAGACTTTTTCGCAGCTCGCTCCAAGTTCCAATATGCTAGTGGTGATCCGCGAAACAAACGTCATGGTCTTCTTCGTGATAGAGATCCCAAGAACGTTCAAATCTTTGGAAGCGTACAGAGATTAGGCTTTGGGACTTGGAAAGGGGCGATTTTCAGAGCTCTAGGGTCGATAGAGTAGTCATCGCGAGGAGTAGGAAAGAGGAAGAGAAAGACCTTGAACGTACCGCGTCTTCCGGTTCACTGTTCAGGAAACAAAGTTGGAATCGGATGGTATTGGCTTGGGCACGGGCACGGTCTTGATCTCGATGGGTACTAGGAAATTGGAATGGGGAAACAGGACTAGGGAACGTTAAGGGAAGGTACGCGTTCACTTGCTCCGAGTCTGAGGTATCACCAGGAGAATTTACTTTAGTTCTTCCTCGCGATAGCCTAGCCTGAGGAGCATTCAAACTGGGCTAGGTCCGTCGGCGAGCTGTTGCTGTATGATTCCTCCGACGTCTTGGATCCGCCGGCGAACGTCTTCAAATAGGCTCTTCGAAATATCCACTGGCAGACTTGGATTCTACACGTTCGGATAGAAGATCTCGCAAGCCCTTTTCGCACCGCGTCCAACATGCACCGGGATTGGGGTTCGATCGTTGAACGTTGAGAGACCAGAGGCTGGATACTAGGACACTGGAATGAGGAAACAGACCGGGAGAACTTGGAAGGTACGTACATGTTCACTTGCTCTGAGGAAAATTCCTTAGCAAACGACTTCTCCTAGGAGCGTTCAAACTGGGCGCACCGAAAGTGCTTCTGGAGAACGAGGAAATTCAAGTATCTTGACAGGGGAGATTAGGAAAGGGCTATTTTCAGAGTGGGCTGGCTACCAACTTTGGATGCGTTGGAGCTCAGCGACGACTCAGACTCGAATTGTACACTTCCCAATACTACGCTTGCCAAGGCTCTACGCCGATATCACCCAGTCATGGTTCAGTGATCACATCTCGTGCTCGGTGACTCTAGTGTCTCCGCGTCGTTGCATGTGATAACTGCATCTCTGACTCGAGTGCATCTCCTTGGAAGTTTGGACGAGCGACTCGGATACGCACAAATACTATTGGACTGTCATTCACCGGCGTATTGTTTGTATTGTACTCGTAGGGAACTCGGAATAAATAGTATCCTAGCTTTGTTACAGTTGTCAAATTTCGGACCAACGACGTCAAACTTGGGAATCGGGATTCGGAAGGAATGCGAGCCCCGGGAAGTGTGGAATAAAAACAGCAATTGGATAAATAGGGTAGAACGCGAGTTTATCAATATCCTGGACCATTCGACCGAGAGATGTCTAGGACGGGCCCACCAGCGCTCTGAGACTGTGGGATATCGACTTGGGTATCGTCGTGTTGCCCGGCACGGAATGTCGTGATACAACTTTTGGTGTCTTCGATGGCGATACCGAGGCTTGTACGTACGATGACGAGGGTTGGGGCAATTCCCTGGGACAGGAATGGTGAGGTGTGAGACGAATAGGGAACAAGTAGCTTCACTCACAGCGGCTTGGTGGAGAGTGTACTGGGCGACAGTCGAGAAGATAGAGTAAGTGGCCATCCTCGGAGAAATTGGGAAGTGGAAGAGATGATTCAACTCAGATTCAGCTAAAGTGAATGCAATGTAGATGATCAGTGTAGTGGGATAAATAAGCCCGGATTCCAAACTGTGAAAGTTTAGAGTGCTATCTAACAGAAATAAGGGTTACTGTGACGCACGTTATAGCAACAACGGTCTTGTACATATTTCTGTGGCCTTTTCCGACGTATTTTGTCGCTTCTCTACTGATGTAGATGATCCTACCAGCTTCGAGTCGGAAAGTAGTCGTGAGCGAGACGCAGAGGTGAAATTGAACCTGGACAAACCTATCAACAATGTTAACAATAAATTGGTGAGGATAGTCCCTGAGAGGAACATCGTGTAGAGATACCAGTCTGGCCACACTACTTCGGTATTCACTAAAGCAGTGCCGATTGAATCATGAAAGCATGCAACAAAAACAATCGCAGCAACTGCGCAATCAAAGTATGAATGGCGACGTCAGGACTGTGAAATATATGGGATAAGTTCACTTACCATTATTCACAGCACATAGAACAGCCGGTAAAATGATAACTTTTCTACGCTGCCCCCACACAAAATAGCATCTCCATATCTAGTAAAACACATATTAGGATACCTGAAAGGGGGACAGTCAAACGAAATACCAGAATCAAATCTGCGGTTATGCTGCTCGTATCAGTACTCGTTTCTGACTTGAATCCTATCCAGTAGAGATTGCTCACTTTGAAACCACAAGGAGTGCGAGCCGAAAAACCATCATCTTGTTAGTAGCTATGAAGCCCCACCTAGAACATTTGTAGCCATTACTATCAGTGTGCACATCATAAGAACGTTCGTACGAGAAGTTTTCTGTTTCATAGCGTTCCGACTTGGGTAAAACCTCCGAGCAGAGCCAGGGTGGTGCGACTATGTCCAGGATGCTTTTCAGTGCGGCGGTAACACTTTCCACTTCGATGATTGTCCCAACAATGGTAGCCATAGTCCCAAGCACAAACAGTGTCGTGATCGATAGGCAATGTAAACGATAACGGCCATGTCTTCGCTTGAGAAGAATGCGGATGCAAATTCCGAATAGCACGACGTATGCACCTATTCAGTAATGAATCATCGTTCGAAAAAACCAGGGAAAGTGTGACAGCCATACCGTATATGAGATACAAAATCTAGTGAGTTGTTTTTGAAGGTCAACGTCGTCTGGGTTAAAGCAGTAGGATTTCTACTCACAGCAGCGAGAACCGCAAGACGGTATATCTGTTCATCATTCCCTTGTTTCATGTCTCGTATATCTGGTATCATTCCGAGTTCCCTGCAGTAAGATTCAAACTCCTTCTGTAGACGTATCGTATTTAGGGAGCTGGATACAGAACAGCTGTAAGGGACACACCTCATCGAAATCTTGTCTATCCATGACCTGCAACAACTGAGTCGAAAATTTCGGTTCTCTTCGTGCTTATTCTGAATTTAGTAGATGGAGCGGTTCAATAAGTATCTTGAAGAGAATGTTATGTGCTGCCGGGCTCCTACTGGAGACAACAATGGGTTGATGGATTCGATGCACCAAACTGACCTATTGAGAAGGTGGATTGATGAGCTGTTTAGCCTTGAGACGGTGAGATCCGCGAACAGAAAGCAAAGAAAATAAACCCACTAGGTACGCCACAGGAGGGGGTGACTAATCTGGTATTGCGCAAGGCAAGAGGCCCAGAAGCTAGCAGAAGAGGGAGACTGCTGTTGATATCGCGAATACAGAGATGGAAAAC